TCGACGCAAAAACCTATCCTTGAACTATCAACGAATTAAAAAAAATTGGAAAATTGGTCAGCGTTGTTGAGTATACTAGCCATAACATTTTTGCGATTCCATTTTACTATATTAATAGAGAATATAACACATACAATGCAATTTGGATGTATATACTGAACTCAAATTAACAGATGATGACAGGAAATTTCGTTGTGTTCAATTCGTACTGCATTAAACTGGAATACTAACTGATACAATCTATTATAACCTAATCAAGTTACAAATTTTATATTTTTTTACTATTGCAAAACCGAAATACTGTTTATTCAAAGTGTAATCTTTCGTTCTCTACATTTATTACGAACTAGGCACACTTCTATGTGTTCAGTTGTAATCTAGTTTTCCTTCGATTGCTTAAACACCTATAAATGTCTGATCTCTTCGAAAGGCGAAAGCGAGCACTAAAATTAAATATTCATCGCGCACTTCGAAGACGTTCGCCCTTTCTCGATCATTAAGTTTGCCTAGGTGGCGAAATTCTATATCAAATACGCGCTCGTCTTAACCGAATCATTAAATATTACTGTCCGCATGATTCTTTGCTCCTTGAGCTGGCTTAAGTCCCTTAAGCGATCAATCCGTGTGAGCGCTATCGACAAAGTAGCTTTGAATGCTAGGACTCTTACGAATCATAGTGAAACGCCTATTTTGGCTAAGCTTCATTATTTTGGGCTAAAGCCTCGCTCTATATCTCAGGAGACGTGGATAATGCATTTGGAAGCCGATGAGCTATTTTTACTTTCGTATTACGTGGCAGAGGAAATTATTGTAATGTTGCGAAAAATCGATAATTCAGATTTCAACGTAAAGTAGCTCGTTTGGGCACCAGGGCATCAACCACACAATAAAATTTACTTTTCGGTGGAATATGATTGCTTGTGTGAAACTACCAATTTAACGAAATTCTACTTTCCGATTTTGCTTCACGCAGACATTCCAAGGTGTCTTCAGAAGCAAAGATCACTTGTATCCATTTTTTGTGTACTTCCTAATGATATCGATTGTACCAACGAGTTTATAGTATGCTTTGTTTCTGATAGAGTGAGCAATATGCTCAATATTTGTACATGGAATATATTCTATCTCTCACGATAGTCTCTTGATGCAAAGATGGTTCTAACAGGACAAATGAATGACCTGGATGGATACTAATTACTAAATTTCCAGTTTTTACAAGGTAGTTCATTAACCGTATACTTCTATTGTTTCTTTTGAGTAGGACAGTCATCAGAAATTAAAGCGTAGTATCCCTGAACATTTCTTTGTAGCTCAGATTATCAAGTCAAGCAGAAAAGAGCAACAGTACTTCATGTAAGATTCTCGCGTACAATTTGGATTGTTATTTTCATATAACCGTGACACAGAAAAACTTGAGTTACGCAAATAAATGCTTCTTGAGGATATCTTGGGAAGTCTGAAATATTTTGCATGTAGTCAAAACATTAGTCTGCTACATTTTATTTCCCACACTTATGTTTTTACTTCATTTTTGCATAAGAACTTTTTACTTCCCTTTTTATGCACTGCCGTTCACAAATCCTGTAAGTTTTTGCAGTGTGTTCTAATGCTCAATTCAGCACAACTTTTCTGTGAAAACGGTAGTTGTAAATTTCAATTTACTTAGCGGTGTGAGATCCATTTCTTTTAAAAACGCTCACAAATTTTTTCAAAGAAAATTGTCATTTAAGACGAGGTTTTACTGTCTTTAAACGATCTTAAAATATATTTTCCGCCACAGAATAAGGAAACAGGAAAAATTATGAACATTCTCAAAAAAAATGTACTTTGGGCCCGCTCACTGAGGCGCACTCAATTAAGGTTAACGCCAGATGTCACAACTTGTTAGTCGCCCAATTACGTATACTGTTGCGGTTTCATTGATACATTTTTACCGCTTAACCCAGACTTAAAGTATTGATAACAATGAAAATGGCAACAGCGCTCGTCAATAGCAAAATTATTACGGATCTGCCGTGCTCTTTCGTTATTGTGATATTCGAAAAATAGTTTGATGTAATATCTCCTTAAATACTCAAAGATGAATTGTTCATCATCAATGAAGAATGGACATATTTTTTACAGACGCAAAGGATATACCTGTTCATTTGCCAAATACCTTAGCGGTCTCAAAAAATAACTTTTCCGCTAATAACACTTAGCTAGCAGCGCAATGCGAATATAATGCGTGAATAGAAAAAAAATGTACTAGAATTATTCAAGCAAAGTTAGAATAAAAAGAAGATAGATAATAAAAAATATTAAGATTAAACAAATAATTGCAAGCACATTTTATTGGTTATCACACGAAAAAGACTGATCAGACGAGGTCCACCAGATTCTCAGTAAAGAGAACGCAAATCTCCAGAACGAAGGACTTAATCTCGTTGCCGGGCTCTGACGAGGGACATGCACGGTCTCCACATGCCAACCGAGCGCGTTCCAGTGACACTTGGAACAGTTCCGGTTGGGGACGGGATAGTGGCGGCAAGTGATATTGCCGATGAAATTCATCGCATTCTGGGATATGATTTCCTATTTGAAATTTGGTTCTCACAAAATAAGTAATTGCTCATTTAGGCTCTTACGAAAAGATAATCACAATTTCAGATATCAAATCCTATTCGAGCAAATATTGCATAAACCAATTTTATATTTCGTTCGCTATCAACCGCCGTCAAAAGAGTCCCACTATTGCCAACTAAATATTGTAGCAATACACTTGGTTAGATACAAGAAGCAAAACTGGTCCTGAAAGCCGAGACAATCAGATAATCTCAAGTCTAGAACTTCCTCCGTTCACCGCGAACGAAAATGAATGAGGAAAATGCCCACCCCACGAATATAGAGCATGGATTGACCACGTATCGCCTATGAAATACGGGCAAAGGCGAAGGAAAAATACACAGGGCATCATGGTTATTCTCCTCCTGTGAAGATTAGTCTGCTCGATTGACGTAGTACTAACAGGTCATTCTGTTTTATATAACTACGTAACAAAACTTTTCATTTTTAATTCAGTAGGATATCCCCAATCATTTGCGATACGTGTCACGACTTAAATTTAGTTCGCCTCACATCTGAGTAATTAACTTAAATTTTTGGATAACCTCAGCCCAACTTTAGCTACTTCTCACTACAGTCGGCGTAGTTGTGCTCATAATAGAAGTCAGTTCCCGTTTTAACCTCGCCCAATTTGGTTTCTAGTATTACTATGAGTTTGAGAATGTACGTGTATGGAAATTCCAAATTGAGTGGATTTCGCATACACATTCTAGCAGCGCAAAGATAACAAATTGCATTTTTCACAGAGCTACATTGTTCAAAAGAATAGAGTCAAATTCAATTATCCGTCGGTGGGCGTGCGTGTTTACACAGATCATAAGTAGTTACCAATTGCGGAAAATTATAAATAATAAAAGTAAACCGGCAATACGGTTCAACTGTGTTGATGTATCAGAAAAATCTTGGAAAGCTTGCACATGCAAAAGATCTTTCGTATATCAAACTGCAGTAATTAATATTCATGTTTGTATGGACATTCTTTCACTAAGAGATTGGCGCGAATTACTAACATCAGAACCATATGGAAATTTGATTGTTACGACAAAACGAGTTTGCATCCTAAACCACACCACAATTCTAATTTCCTTCCCAAATCTCGCTGCTGAGTAGTGAGGCAGGGGCGCTTCGTAGGAGGCGCGGAAGCTGAGATGCTACTAGGCTGTCGTCTTGAAAACTGACTGCGACGAGACGAGCATATGACATGACATATTGGGTGGTATGAATAAAAATGAGCAATTACTCTTTGCTCCGAGTTTCGGAAATCCTTCTCAATTTCGTATGAATAAAGTTTAGCATTTACTCAGATTGAGCACTTGCTTCAAAATTTCGGAGGGAACTATGTAGCAGACTCACTTTGACAAGAAAGGTTAAAATGGCCGTGCACATTCCGTGGGCAGCGGAGTAAAAAAATTACAAGATTCGGCGAGATTCTAGTGACATGAATTATAAGAATCTTTACCGATTCGAAAAGGACAATCTTGTACGATTGACACATTTTCTCCTCGTTCGTGAAGAAACAAGAGGCGGAGTTCTAACCAACGAGCAAAAAATGAAATTTTTTCTTCCATATGTGGCCGATTTAGGTTTTCAGGTAGGAGTGGCAGAATATGTTGGGGTGATTCAGTCCACAGTCAGCAAGACTTTTAGTTTCGTCATGGAGAAAATAAAAGAAAAATACAGTATTGGATACAGCTCCCAAGAACTGCAATAGATCTCCAGCATGCAAGAGATCTGTGTCAGGAAAGACACACTTTCCCTAATGCAATTGGTGCTCCTGACTGTACACATATTATGATTAAGAAGATACTTACTCTTGCTGATGAACACATCAATAGGAAAGGCTTTCATTCTATAAATATTTAAGCAACATGCAATGCTAAAGAAGAATTTACTAACATGAACGCTTCTTGGCCTGGATCGGTGCACACGATTCTAGCATTTGGAAGAATTCCCATCCACACAGATTATTATCAGGCCAAAGCGACATGTTGCTACTTGGTAATTCAGGCTTGGAATGGCAATGCAATATGGAATTGCTCCATGGTTCATGGTGTCACATAAAATCTCCAGATCAACCAAACCCTGTAATGCCAGAGCATTTCTCTTCCAATGGATGTTTGAAAAAGGAGCGTGTTACCATTGAACGATGTTTTGGACAACTTACACAATGCTTTCCAATTTTACAAAGTAGAGAGAGACTAGCTACAGAAAAGATACCATCTGTTGTTTTGTGCTGTTTTATATTTCCCAATGTAGCAAAATACTTACATGATGAGGATTTTGCAGCGGACATCATTGAACCTGAGGAAGAATTACAACCCCTAGAACAAGGAACAGCTGCTGACAGATTGAGAGGACAACGTAGGAGGGATGAACTGTCAAGAATAATACACAGATTTTAATTTGTCAGTATAATTTTCTTTATTCATTTTTGAAAACCAACACATTTACTTTCCCTCATCCTTTTTTCCCACAGATACTTTTCCTTTTTTAATCGTAGCACTTGCAATTCCTCCAATAAAACCAGTCTTGTCAGTTCAAGGTTTAACATACGTTTAGTTTCTTCCGTTTCTAAACCCACTAATCTTTTTTTTACAGGGCGAGGTAGCACCCTTGCAGTAGTCCCGCTGCTGCTCTCTGCCCATATTTCTTCATCTGAAACACATCCTGCTGCACCTTCATTGCTGGGTCCAGCTGAAGATACTGCTCCTGAAATTAATATAAAATATAATGTAAATGATTGTGAATATATTCAATTAACACAATGAAAAAAAAAATGAACACATGTTCTCTTACAAAAATTATAATGTAAATGCTTATGAATATATTCAGTTATCATGACATTAGGTTAACTGAATATGTTCACTATCATTTACATTATAATTTTTGTAAGAATATGTTTTAATGATTAAAAAGAATACAAGTTTTCTTACATAAATTATAATGTAAATGATTGTGAATATATTCAGTTAACACAATGAAATAAAAAGAATACAATGGTTTTCTTACCTTATATTTGGCACACTGTTGGATTACTGTCACCGTTCATTAATTCATAAACTTTTTTTTCGGGCCTCTAATTTTAATTTTTTTTGTTGCCGGTACGATTTTTATCAGTTTTTGCTTTTAAACGTGATTTTATGTTACATATTCTTTGGGATAGTTGTTCCTCACCTATAAGAACTCCCAATTTTTCAAGTACTGGGTTTTTAAATTTTGAAGAGCTTTTTTCCGGCGTCTTCGTACCTCCGGAAGCTGGCTCTTGTCAAACACTACTCGATTTTTGCTGAGAATCACAGCGAAAATTTGTTGCCACTCCGTCGCCTTCAGCTCCTCGCCACTGCTGCTACTCATTTCGAGTAGGAAATATCAAGAATATTCACGGCACAAGAGTACCACCTCACAACTTCCTACTACTTCACGCGTTCCAACACAAGCAAACTCGAACTTCCTCACAAATTAACCACGGAAAAAAACAAATGATGTGCGCGGCGCCCGTGACGTATGTAACCACTTTGTTACTCAAGAATCCCATTTAAAAAAAACTCTATACCCACACTTTGCTTGTTCACAACGAGCAAATGCTCGCGAGACATGAGCAAGTTCTCCGGAGAAACACGAAGTTTTTATTCATACGAAATGGAGCTTTTGCTCAGTGCCACGGAGTAGACTCAGTGCCACGGAGTAGACTCACTGCTCCGGAGCAAGTACTCCTGAGCAAGTGCTCATTTTTATTCATACCACCCAATGGATTAATGGAGGATTACTCCGAAAGCGCAAAGCGCCTAACGCCCCTCGGGATTTGGAGATGAGTTGCGTCAATGAAAGACGCAACAAATTTGGAGGAAAAAAACAACAAAAAAGTTCAATACTTAGTTTTTAAAGAACTAATTGTGTAGCACAAATTTCATTTCAGGAAAAACATTTCAATCTTCAACAATGTAGAAGAGATGGATAAAATGTCGAACTTCGGCGATTTTCAAATTTTCAGCGTTTTTAGTAAAACTCGCCAACCTGCCATATTAATAAATATATTTCAATGTATTCTTAGAATTTAAAGAAATAATTTAGTGCATTGTTTTAGAAATATTGAAAATGTTCCAGGGGCTTCATGCCGGCCAAAATTTAAAGAAGTTTTCAAAATATCAATGCTTTAAGTCAGGCCTTGTCGATTTAGTAATATACGTTTTCCACAAAATCTTGCGACAATTGTAAGCCTTCCGAGTGTTCACTGACGGACGGAAGTTCAAAAAAGAGACAGATTTTTCGGTATTAAGGAACATCTAAATGTAGATTTTGACTATGCTAAGTATTTGGGATAGTAATTTACAACAAGAAAGCAGAAAAATCGACTATTAAGCTGTCATGGAATTTTTCTGTCGAAAAAATATAATTTTTCTCCGCAGCAGTACATTACTTTCTCACTACTGGGTAAGCTTGTAGAAAGTAAAAAGTTGTCATTTTGGGACATTTCCTTCCATAAAAATATTAAAATACATCTTTATTACGATATTCAGAGAAGTGCTTGGAAACCACATTCTCAAAGGCGTTTAATAAAAGATGCTGGAAACATTCGGAAAGAGTCCCACAATGAAGCTTCATTCAATTCTCAGCTACCTGCAGATATTGAACTGAATCAACTTGCAACAAGCTACTTAATCATGCTCCAGGAAAAGGGTTGTTCGGCAAGGTAAAAAAGAAAGGGAAGGAACGGTTTCTGATGAATCAGGAAAAACAGACCTTTTAAATTTTTTTGCAGTGCGATAAGTTGTTCATTACCACGTTTACGTCAATTCATAATGTATACACGAATATTTGGACGAGTAATGTGGAGTCTAGCAAGTGACCATTAGAGGCAATCCTCTTTTTATATAAGAAAACGAACCGATTTTTATTTTATATATTAAGTTTATACAATTTTGTGGATATTATGTGGATTGCAATATTAAAGAAAGCTTATTAATACATTAGAAAAGAAACAAAGAGTTGGTTGCTTCATTAGTCTTACTTCAGCTCTAGGATATGGTTCAATTGCGAAAATAAAATCCTTCATATATACATCATCTTCATTACACTAACTACATCTTTTTGTGACGTCATGAATTGTAAAAACTGAATGTTGAATAAAATACCTGTGTAGAAACCACACTCCCATGATAATATAACAAAAGAACGAAACTAAATTTCCAACACCAGTTATGTTTCGTTCCAGAGCCGATTTGTTAATAGATTTTTTCGATGTGTTTTGGACTAGTTTCGTTACGGTACTTAGGTTTGGGTGGACAAGATATTAACGATCTGTCTAATTTCGCATAGTTGTATTTCTGTCTCCTAGCTTCCCAGAATTATTACATAGCAATCCGAACATGAATGTAAGAACTTTTACAAATTCAGTTACATATATTGCAATGCTGTACTCTAAATTTACTTTCTCCCTACATAAAAAGTTGCACCACGCTGCGCGAAAAAAGTCGAGCTTTCGGTAGGAAACCTCTTATTACAAAGACCTGGTAACGAAAAAGGGGAATACATCCAGTTGCTAATTTTAGGGGGGTGCTCTAAAACGTAGTGTAGCCTTATTTTCTCCTAAATTGATATTCTCCGATCGATCCGGCTGTTGTCGCGGCCCCATGAACTTGAAACAGATATTTTAATTTTGGGCGGTATTTACATGAAGCCTCAGGGAAAAATTTTCAAAATTTTCACGAAAATGGCTCCATCGATTTTGATTAATTTTGTTTGGCCAGTGAGAAGAATGTTGAAGAGAATCGTGCAGGTATCCTGTTCATTAAAAACTCTGATTTTTCGAAAATACCAAAATTGCAATTTTTTGGGGGAACTTATAACAATTATGGAGATTGCGAATTATTTCAAAAAGGAGAACTATTCGTTAATGATGAATTTTGAAATAGTCTCAGGTACAATTTTTCGAAACTGCGTGGAAGTATGTATCGCTTTATCACCATAAGTGCAAAAAGAAAATTATAATTTTTTAATATTGTCCGCCTATTGTTAATTAATTTTGTGCACTATCACAATATGAGGAACGTGATCCATATGTTCCCAAACAAGTACACAATTTGTACTTTTGTTGGGTATTTGCGCGCTTCAGTGCATCGGATCCGCTGAACCGTGAAGGAATTAGCGTCTGCTTTGAGGGCCTGCAGACCCTCAGAGAGAGCTGTCTTTTTAAAGAGAAAGGGGATCTTGCCACATTGTTTAGTGAACAGCACAGGCACAATTTTTACGTTCTGTACTGATCACCCCAATAGTTTGTGCCCAAGGTTCACGAAATAATTAAAAAATATATCATACTCTTACCTGGGGAATATGCAGTGATTTCTTGTTTAATTGTAGCAATAGGAGCACCATCACAGCAAGATGATACAGGATCCTACAGAAAAAAAATTAGAAACAATCTCTTCATGGAATTAAATACTGAGAATGAAACTTTTAAACTTCATTTGGGAGGGTAAATGCAACTTTGAAAAATTCTAATAATCCATCTTGTCCTTTTAATATTTTCCAGCCCTACACCTTAAATTGCATTAAAAGGATATTCTTGGTTTTCATTCAGTTGACGCCGATGACGAGGATAAATAATGTAAATTTTCGATTCAGAAACACAATAATTGATATTTAGTGGATTTTAAACGGTGAAACTTGAAAATAATTACACATGGTTTTGTCTTTTAGTAATTTTAAATCCTAAAAGATATTTAAAAAATACCTTCTTCTCTACCTGTTAGCATTTTGTAATATGGCAAAGGAAATAATCTCCACAAAATGTTTCATAATTTTTATTAATTATTATCCAGAGTTAACTTTCGGGATAACACTTTTCCCATCCTCAGTGGGTCTCTAGCAAGGAGGAGAAAATGAAAAATTAAGACAAGTTGACATAAAAAAGAAATACAGTTAATTTAGTGGGGGGAAAAAAACAAGATCAAATACAAATTGAGAATACCACACGATATCTGCTACCATCATGGAATTTACTGTGTGCATTTATAACAAACATAATTCAAAAACAGAGTCCGGATATTCATGAATTTTACCTAAAATATGCATTAACTCTGCATTAAGAATCCAAAAACGCATGACAAGAGTGCAAAATTACAATTTAAAGAAATTATTACGTACAATTAGTAATTAAAATTACTCAAAATCTTCTTTCTCACTTTGGTAGCAGATGACCATCCGATAGGTAAGAAATACTAATAAGCACTTCCTTCCG